ATGGCCTTAGAACCGATGTATTCAAAAGAAATCACGTTTTTTTGTAGAAACGCTTCCTTAATGAAATTCCAGATATCGATCCTTTTGAGACAATTATTTTTGCGATTAATTTTTGTTGAATTTTTTACGAAGGTTTCTTTCCGTCTTGACAAACAAGAGGCGGAAACGGACGAGGGAGAAAATATATGTAATTGGCGCTTTGTAAACGCTAAAACGATTTTTCCGCCCAGTTTCACCTCTAATTTATGGTGCCCGTCTTAATGTTTTCCCAAAAAATGGAGGAACCTATAGTTTATTCTAAGCCACACCCGAGCAGCTGATGGTTTTTTTTTTGAGGAGTCTCAAATTCTTCAAGAAATACACTCGGAAATACCTTGCGAGGGGTGAACGCAATTAGGAAATTTGACTAAATTTTTTATTGACACTTTGTAACCAGCTCCTCCTCCAATTCGCGGGTTATGCGTCTTAAAGTTTTTCCAAAAAATGAACAGCTGTTGGATTCTTAGAGGAGCTTTTTATTTCATATCGGGAATACACTCGGATTTTTAAATTTAAAATAATTCTCTGTAATTTTGGATGTTGGTCGGGCCAGGACTTCCGCATGACAGTACGGTGACAGTATGCAAAGCTAACCACTTGGCTATTCCGGCCAACTTAGAGAAATAGAGCAGGAAAAATTAAATCTGAATGCCTCTACACAAATAATTATACACGGTAGTTGGAAAAAGAGAACAGTAAAACAAAATAAGGATGACCTAAATTTATGTGGCACTCAACTTTAATAACTCTAGTGCCTGACTGTTCGAAGTCAAAATTCAAAACACCGTAGGATGAAGAGTCCTCTCCCCTTTATAGTTTAATAATTACATTTCGTGGTTTCCTCCGTCACCAGAAGACGTTTCCCTATACTCACATGCCGATGACATGCAATATTGATAACCTATGTTCGAAAGTAAGTTGTGTCTCATCGACTACTCTTTCCACCAGTGCGACAAATTCACCGGCTCAAACTCAATGTAATAGTCGATGACATCAAAATTCTGTTAATAATCAGCCTCAAGTTGCTGTGAGTAACATTTGATAGCCTCCACTCCTTCATTTCGCACAGGACTGGGAGGAGTAATAAAAACGTTGATTGCAACTTACAAGGCAAGCGGTCAGCCGGGCATTAATTGCGATGCACTGATCTTGATACTGCGCTGGAGATCGTAACGGAAAATCTACTGATATTTCCTATGCACTACTCACTATGCAAGTGGGAAATATCTCTGCCTACATTTAAGCAGCATCTGCTAAGTCGTCATCTTTGGAAAAATCTTAGCGGACATCCGTTGAATGTTGAACCACCATCTAGACGCATTAGAAACGGAGTGAAGGACTCTATTCAGCACCACATTACCGAACCGTCGAACAGAACCATATATCAACAGGACCCATGCGCCACTCCCAGAGAGTGTGTCAACACCTTTATAGACCCTGTTACCGCCGGGAACGAACTGCTCCGTATGCAACCCAGCCAAAAGGTTTGAGCTACCTTGCGATCAATAAATATTGCACAATTAATTCTGACTTTTATCGCTTAATTTCTATTTTACCTCGTTTTTGAGGGAAAATTTTACTTTTCAAGAATACTAAACCAATTTGCTCCCAAAACTCTTGCCGAAAAGATTTCATTCTCGCAGGACACAGAAAATGTATTGATGTAAGTGACTTAAATACATTCCGCATCCTTAACGCTCAATCAAATTTTTTTGGCTTATTGCCATAGATTGTAGCTCGCTCCTACGCTAAAATAGCATTCAATATGCTTATATGAGGCCACCCGTCTGTATCTATCCCATGCTCTCAAACCTCTTTTCGAAAACGGACAATACATAATTCTAACCGGCTTCACAGCAAAAGCCTTTCAACAGTTGACAGTTGAGGGCGCGCAAGCGCTCACGCAATCTATTCCATAAACGCCTGTACATATGTATGTACGTAGGAGTATGCTCTTACCACTCATAATGATCGTATGTGGGATAACCACCCCTAAATAGCCTTCCGCATGCTTATGCACTGTAAGTTTTCAAATGTTCGGATATCTTTTTTTTCCATTAAAGCATTCCTACACTAGAATGATGCTTCACATGAATGGGGGCTGGAAACAACGATACCAGACACAAGCAGTTCGCATGCCAAATCATCGAAAGTATGCAGGAAGTTTTGAATGCTGAGAAAGCAAATACAATGAGCAAAATATATGTAAATATACAAAGTCCACAGAAATGCTTACCCAGCAGCAACATCAATCACGTTACCAACCCAGTCGGAAAGTTCCTCGTGCCAACATTTTATTGAAATATAACTTATCTAACAAGGCAAGTAATCATATTTTTTTAGCAACAATTTTGATCTTTCTTTTACAAAGGCGAAATTGTTGTATACATGAATCAGTTCCACGCGACGCTTTCGCAATATATAATAATAATAAGCAATTTTAGTAAATAAATATTTAGTTTTTTAGAAATCACTCCAATGTTTAATAAGAGCTCAGGGACCTACAGTTTATTCTAAGCCGCCTCCGAACAGCCGCTGAATTTATATGAGGAATCTTTATTTAATTTCAGAACCGTATTCTTCATTTAAATTAATCATCTAACTTTTGGATGTTGGTCGTACAAGGATTAGGATTAAAAAGTTATATTTTCAACAATTTAAATTTTTATGTAATATAAAAAATTTGATTCAAAATATTTATTGTCTTAACAACATAAATTTTAAAATGGATTTCTTGAATTTTCAAATCAAGTTTAAAACGCTGAGCCACCTGCCTTTGAGCACGCTCGTTCTCAAGGCTGTATATCCGTAGCTTTTATTAGGATCGACTTCAAAATTTAGAATTAATAATAAGACGAAAAGAAATCGCTATTTGAAGCTATAAAAGCCATGTAAATATCATAATTGAATGAAATTTATAGCAAACATAATATTCGATTGAAAAAAGCATGTGTAAATATTTGAAAATGTGTTAAAAATTATTATATTTCATTCGATCATTTACCCCCTTTGAAATGATAATAAAATTCACAAAATTTTCAGCAATTTGATTTAAATCATTTCCTAAAAATATTCGCGCATTAAGTTTTGTATTGTGAATCTGACTTACTTCACTGGCATAGACATGAATATGAATATCCACGGAAATGAAGGGAAGGAAAATCGCAGAAAGTGACGTGGTTTTTTCCACAAATGAAGGGTGTTACAACCTTTTCAAAGCCGCGCTCCCTGTCGAAGAATGCAAATGCAATAAATTTGTTTCCAATAATTTTGGGTTTTAGTATATTTTATCCTTTGAGCAATGAGTTCTCGCACACTTTTACATTATTTATGGTTCAAAACACTGCTCGATATCGGTATCCATAGCTATGTATTAGTATTACTAGTATAAAATATATAATTGGCACTTTGTAACCGTTGAAGCGATTTTCGGCCAAGCTCCTCCTCTAATTTGTGGTTTTGCGTCTTGATGTTTTTCCGAAAAATGGATGGACCTACAGTTTACCATGTCGCCTCTGAACGGCTGTTGGTTTTTATGTGCAGCTTTTTTTCATGTCAGAAATACACTCGGAGGTTTGGGCAATCCCTGCCGAGGGGCAATCGCAATTAGAAAATTAAACGTGTATTTGGGTGTTAGTCGAACTAGTATTTGAACCCGGGAACTCCGAATGGCAGTGCTCAATACTAACCACTCGGCTATCACTGCCGCCAATTGCTAGTACAATAGTATAACGGGATCTACAAAATTATAACACATTTTTTTTTCAATTTATATATGTACATACATACATATGTGTTTTTTAGAGTTGTAGTTTTCAAAGAGGCAATACATTTCACGGAAATGGTCTTTTTGACATCTGTTACTTGATTTATACTCAATTTTCTTTTCCATTTCATAACGAAAAGATTTAGTTCGATAAACTAACCAGTGATGATAGTCCACAAGTCATTGTTGAGACACCGTTATATTCTCAAAAAGTCACTGTTGGTGTGCTTAACATGGTTGGTTTATATTTCTTCAAAAATGATGTCGACCATAGAGCCAAGTTCAATAACTTTTTCGTGACTGAATTGGAGAATGTTGATCTGACGGCATTACATACCATACAGCCAACAAAACAATCAATTTATTGAAGGAAACCATTTGGTGGGCACAAAATCAATATCACGTCGCGAGCCTGTGACTTGGCCTACAAGATCGTGCCTCTCGACTGGAATATTTTCGAGTCAGCCACTTGCACGAAATCATACTTAAAACATAATGACAAAACCTTATCTCTATAATCAACCTAATGCTTTAGTCATAACATTTAATTGTATGCGTTTAATTTCTTTTTGAAAACTATTTTTCTAAAAAGCAGCACCCTTAACATAATTTACAATCCACATCGGCGCAAAATATGCCCCTTAGCTCAGAATATATTTGAAATGTAATAAATCTGTATTTCTAATAGACGCGTATGTTATGATTTCATCCCTTCCGTACCAGTCAACGAACTAGAGCATTTGCGCATTTTTCATTGCAGATATAATTCTTTAGTTACATGCAATATACTCGTATTTATACTTTTCTACAACACTTACGATTATGCATATATAGTTGTACGTATTATATTCAGATATGTATATATATGCGTGCATGCGCCAAACATACATACCTCTGCAATTTCACAATGCCCAGGCATTTGGAAAGAAGCAACATTTACAAGCGAACTACTACACCGCTTACACTCATGGCAATGCGAACGGCATTTCTGCTCGTACACAGTCATCCAAATGGACCGACATAAAAATACGGTGCTGCGATTCGTCTACCCTCGAATAGCGGTAGTGCATGGTGAACAGCAAGCGATCGGCCATTGCAATGCGCTGATTGGTCGAACGGCAAGCGAAGTCAATTGACGGCTAAATTGAGTATAAAAAGGCAATCATCGTTTTGTGGGCACAATTAAGGGCACAGACTTCGTTAGCGTTAGACACGCGTTGTGTAAAGGCGGCTGATAACGTGAAATCGACTCTAACAGTAATCAGTGTTGTGCGCTTACGACTTAGTAAATACATATTATACATATGTATGTAATTCGTGTGTGCCAAGTAATAGTTTAAAAAATTGTTGGAAAGTGTTCAATGCTTACTGCAGCAAGCAGAGGCATAATAGATTTTTTTTTATAATTGACTTAATTCCTTTAATTAAAGCGCTTTGGTGACAAGAATTAAAACTCACTGAAAAGCAGTAACCATGCAAAAATATGCATATCTAAATTGAAAACGTGTGCGGAGAATTGTGTACAGAAGTAAAGCGCCACATCGTCACATCGCAACTCTGTGCAGCCACTGGCGATTGTTCTGCGATAAATGCAATTAACAACAATTTCATTTACAACAATTTAATTTTGTGGTTGTTGGTGTAGCGCCACAATAATCAATTTTTTACAATCGTATTAATTGGTTCTGATTTAATTTTCACGCGCACATTGATTAGTCGCCATGGATAAGTAGATGATCCTTGCTTACATACAAACAATTGGTATTAATGTATGTGCGAACATAATAAGCAAAAGCTTGACAACACACAACTCATAAGTGGTAAAACTTAATATTTTTAAGTTTTATTTAAATCGTCAAGACTATAGAAGAGAATATTGCCCAAACAAAAATTTAAAATCAAAAATTTAAAATCTAACCTCACATTGGCACTCCACCTCACGTCACTGATGTTAGATACAAACTTTTGCGTTAGCAGCGAAGCAGTGAGTGATTTTCAAGTAAGCATGGAGCACACCACCTTCGATGATCAAATTTTTAACGATTTCTCCGGTCCACTTAGTCCTTTGGGTGCCAAGCCTTTAACCCCAGCTGGCGTGGGCGTTGGCGCTGCTGGTACACATGGTCTACATCCAGTCATGATTGGTCTACCAGCCAATTCGGTATTGCAACACAACAGCAATGGTGAAATGTGTAACCAACGTTTGCCAAATTGCAATACATTGCTGCCGGGTGGCTCACCAAAATTGGATCCTTACAAAACAACCGACTATGGCCAGAAATTGGAATATAGCGCTGTCAATAAAATGGGCTGCTACTCACCTACACAAAAATACGAATACATCACCACTATTACGTCCAATTCCAACAATCAGCATAAACTCGAACATCACTCTGCACATGCCCAACAATATTCGGCCACGCCACCGCCCCCACCAAGTACTGCTGGTATGGGCAGTCCCAACGGCTTGATGCATCATCACAAGCAACTACACAATCAACACCAGCCGCAATTGCTGGGAGACTATCACGCACACATTCCGTCTAATAACAACAACGGTAAAATCGATTATTCAGCAAATTCAGCAGCGGCAGCTGCTAAAATGGAATATGAGCAACATATACAACAATTATACGGCTCTAGTCCACATCATACGCCACACCCGCACGATGGCAATGCTGGCACGGTAACTCTAAATGGCAATGAGTCTGCACAACAGGCAAATAGTCTAATCTCTGGCAATATGTCGCACAATGGCGGCACCGATGGTGTCTTAATTAACACCAACAATGGCGCAACAAGTGTAGTGGGCGTTACCATTACAGGCGCAACATTAGCACAAGCGAATGGTTCAACAAACAATCAATCGTCATCGGGCAGCAACAACAAGCACAAAAAATCGGATGAAATGTGTCAAATGACTGCTATAAATACCAACAATGGCGATGTGAACTCAAGCGGCGGTGGCGGCTGTGGAGCTAATGCTAATGGCAACACGAACGGTCCCCAACCGTCGACGCCGTCATCCAAAGCCAAGAATGATAAAAAGAAAGGCGATCCTAATGGCATAAAGAAAAAGAAAACGCGGTAAGTTATAAAAAAAATATTTATCATTGACAGCAGGAAATCCAAGTTTTTATGTTACGTTTTAGTACCCAAGCCATTCTCGCTGTGGGCGGTTATTATTGCGAGGACACATTGCATGCCTAGAATAACTGCTTGGCTGGAAATTTCTTTTAGGAACTACACATTTTATTATGGCATACTTATACATATGTATGTATGTATGTATGTATGGATGAAAGGATTGCGTGCGAAAAATTAAGAAACTTGTTAGAATCCATATCTGAGACTTTTCTTCGCAGCGTCAATAGATTAATTAATATCTTTGGTAGAATATTTTTTTTTCTTCAAATTCCTTCTGTAAATTAACCGTTGACGTAGTTCTTATTGTTGCTGATCTAATCACAGTTGATATCGTTACAGAGGAAATGAAAAAGTTTTCTTACAAAATAAAGGTTTGATTCAGAGGTGGGTTGTTACCAAAGAAAGGCAGGAGTAGTTGAATAGCTCTAGCAAGAGCCGATGGTTTTATAAGCTCATTGCTTGCTGAAGTATGTACATATATGGATGGAAAGTCGATGAAGACACTATTTTAGGCCCCAAATTGTTTCTCGACTTGGGGCTTTTTGGAAAAAATTTAACAAAATTTGTCTACGGAAAATATGGACTGGATCTTTCGAACGAACACGAGTTTGGATAGTAGATAATTATTGAATCAAACACGTTACACAACATTTATGTGGAATTCAAGATTTATCTTGAAACTGATAGCGTTGTTAGAACACTGTTGTGGCATATTTACAGAGGGAATTTAAGGGGTTACATAGGGCTTGAAGGCCAAAGGCTTATTTTTTCTAATTTTTTCAAAGGCACTAAATAAAATATACAATTTATTTTGTTTGCATATAAAAGTGCAATATATGGACAACATTTGATGAAAATTTTAATGAAAAATAGTATAAGTTAAGGCGTTGGCGGTGTCGTGAAGTAGACCGTACACAAGAAAGTGCTTTCGCGGTAGTCATGATAAGTTTTTCAATTTTTAACTGAAATCAAAAAACCAAAATTTTTCTTAAAGTAGGTTAATATTCCTTGTCCTTGAACGAAGAAAAATTAAAAAATAAAAAATTGAATTTTTTGTAGCGTTTTTTACAAAAAAAAACGTCATTTTTGCATAAAATTAGGCCACATATTGGCTTGTAAAATGAGCTGAAATCAAAGATAAAATAAATCCTTCGTTCAGGGACTAAAAAACATGCTTAAAAGAAAAGTGGAAAATTTGAAGTCGATCGCTTCATTAGTCGTTGAGAAATTTTGACTACCGATTTCGATGAAGTGGTTTTAAGAAAAACGCGTTTAAAGTTTCGCCATCGGTCAAGCCATGACAAAGACTAGTGGGTTATAAAACTCTCTAATTTCTACAGTTTCATCTCGATCGACTTGAAACTTGGGGAAAATATTCCTGACACTTTGTACTTTTATACAAAAAATTATCAAAAAAATTAATTTTTTTAAACTTTCAAGACCTCTATAACCCCTTAACGTAACCGCTGACAGGATTTTCGGCACAGCTCGTTCTCTAATAAATGTTGGGACCTACAGTTTATTCTAAGCTTCCCACGAACGGTCGATGGATTTTTATGAGTAGCCTTTATTTCATGCCAGAAATACACTCAGAGTGCCTTTCGAAAGGGTAGTAAAACCCCTCCGATATTGTGGTCGACGATATAACGTAAATTAATTGAGTGCAACAGTTGCCTAAATGAAGTTTTTTTAAACAAAGCAATGTATACAAGGCCAGAAATTAATATGTGGTTGTCACAATGAAACTGGATGTGATTGAATATTATGGTTATTTGCGCATTGGCAACGGTGAATACCTCAGTCGACGACGTACTGCCGGATATACGTCTGATATAGTTTAGCGAATCAAGAAAAATGGACTTTGCTGGCTGGGTCATGTTGTTCGGCATTGAAAGTTTTCGACCGGTGAATGTAGAGTAAAGGGAAGACTTTAACTCCGTTGGAAGGATTAAGTGGAGCAGGACCTGGCTACACTTGATAGTTCCCATTGGCGTCAAACAGCGAAAACAATGAAGGAATTGCGCGCTGTTGTCAACTCGGCTGACCCGAGTACACGGTCGCTCCCTGGCAAGAATTGTTAGCATTTCTCCACATTGAAATTCTTCAACCGGTCGGAGGCGACTAGAAACCGTATCCCACCATTCGGCGGAATAGAATAATCGTTCAAGTGAAGAACAATGTAGGCAATAGATTTAAGTTGTTGCGTGAACAGAAAGGACGACGAATTATTCCTTGAACAGCGGATTGTTATAGACTTGCCTGTGCCATAACCTCCAAATCGATCAAAAAGACCATATTCTATATTCGGTATGAACATTTATCTTCAAAAATACCGTTTTTGTGAATGTTGTCCAGAACTTTCTTGGAAACTATTATTCATACATCATATAATGTCACATAAAGCTTTGGGGTGTAATATTTCATTAAAAGTGCATGTGCTGGGCTCTCATTTCGACTTCTTTCCCTTAAATTTGGATGTATTGAGTGACAAGCAAGGTTCGTCAATGGAAATGCGTAACGATTATTGTTGGAGACTTAAAAAAGCCTTTATAATGGCCCGTTTTATGAGCTCCTTTCGTCCTTCGACTTCGACTTTGCCTTTTATGAGGAATAGCGCTGTTGTGGATTTTGTCCCTTTAGACTGCTCAGGATGACTACATACACTTGCACGTATGTATGTATTTTTTAAGGCTAGTATTATTTATTAACAAATAGAATTAAATTAAAATTAAACTGAAATAGAAGAACTAAAAAGAAGTAAGGAGTAAAAGTATGTAAAAGTATGTAAAAAGCATGGGTTACGATGAAGCTTAGATGGAACATTAAACATATATATGTATATATAAATGTATTTAATTGGCGATTTGAAACCGCTGAAGCGAGTTTCGACCGGGCTCCTCCTCCAATTTGTGGTTTTGTGTCTTTATGTTTTTCCACCGAACGGAGGGACCTACAATTTATACGCGGCCGCCACGAGTGAGGCATGCTTCCACCCAAAATTTGCATAATTTGATATTTGTACTGCCACGTTCAGCACTCAGCGAAATTTTTAATTTAAGTACATATATTTCATGGATAAAAAACCGTTAATACACCCACAAGAGTACTAAGTTCTCTTTTGCCTAATGTAAATAACAGTTTAGTCTGTCTACTATCCACGCTGCATAATTTAGTGGATATGTTCCAAGACCTTGCGTCTTCCACCACGCGCGTCCAGTGTTTTAAACAACATTTGAAAGCACTAATGGGTTTGTGATAGTCAAGAGTGACAGCTTCGCCTGCAACTTCAACACGAGCGAACTCGTCTGCCTACTACATCGCCTACTACATCCGTGTGACCTGAGACGCAAGTGATATTTACTGTATTTTTCCTATTAAGGCCGAGGCTTACAATCTCTGCTTTGAAGACAGAGAAGTAGTCGTTGAATTTGAAGCTACATTTATTATTGGGGGAAAAACCGCCGTTTCCGTCTAATCATCCCTACTAGAAAAGGAGTAGATGAAATCTATCCGGCAGAAAGTTTCGCTTTCTCGGTTGTATTTAATGTTCTCTGATATAACTTTCTGTATGCTGCCATTTCCTTCACAGTTTGGGGACTAGATTCTATTGTCTAGAGCACGTCACGGATAACTTCTAGGGTTTTTGTTGATGTGGTTGTTACCACGTCTGCTTTTCAAAGTCGGCAGGTTTCAAAGGTTTAATACGGAACTTCTTCTTTAATACCGTCCAACACACTAGTCTCTTTTGTTAGTATGTATCTTACGACAAGGTAGGTATTTTACATTCGGAGACCTCGACTGTCCCTGCTTTAAAAATGCTCCTTCTAGTTTTGTTTCGTTGTCATCGATTACCCCGAGATACGTGACAGAATTGGGGTATATTATAATGTTTCCTCCTAAAGATGGAGGATTGAATTGATGAACTTTAGAATTTATCGCAAAGAGGTAGATCTCAGATTTTACCTCGTTTATTCTCAGTTGTGTATATATATCAAAGTTTATAGTAAATGAGGAACTTCGAAATTGTTTCAAGTTATTCGGATTCTCTGGGAGAATGCCTTTACAAAGGATTTATTAAAAAAAAATGTGTTCTAATTATGATTCGACTTGGACCTAGAACGGACCTTTTCAAATCTACAAATTTAGCACGGAAAGTAGCTTTAGTTCCAGCTTTCCAGTTCTAGCTTTCCAATTCCAACGCATTTCAGCCGGCGCAAGCCGACTCCCAGCTAAAACGGTTGCTAAATTGGTATAGTAAAAATTAATCCATAATTTTCGCATTAACTAAAGGCTTAATTTACCATAGTCAAATATGCACCGTTTTGGTTGATAACTATCTGCCCTTTAGAAGTTAATGTCATTATGTCTCTATCTTAAAAACACTTGCCTAAAAAATTGACACAATCGATTTTCAAAGGCTGTTCTTGAGGGCAATTCATTACCAGCCAAATCATTCGTCATAGACAGGAACAGATGGTAATCATTTGGGGCGAGGTCCAGACTATAAGATGGATACATAACAGACTACCAAACCAAACTCTCAGAGCATCTGCTAAGTCACTATCGATGTTTATGCTCTGGCGTTATATTGATAAAATACGATTCCCCTTCTGTTGACCAAAGCTGGGTGCTTCTGGGCGATTGCTTCCTTCAGGCGATCCAATTGGTGATAGAACAGAACTAAATAAAAATTTTGGTGCAGCAGAGCAGCAGCTGATAGTTAATGATTCCTTGCCAATTCCACCAACAACACAGCAAACCTTTCCTGAATGTCAAACCTTGCTGGAAGACCATTTGAGCTTGTATCAGAAATGGGTCGATTTTGTTACGATTCAGCAGCGATTCGCAGCTGGAAATTTAGTCCATGAGGTTTTTTCTCGTTAACTCATGTGACATCCATACATCAAGCTTCTGTGTGTAGCCAGCCTTTTTCTGGTGGTTTCAAATTGTTTTTGTGCAATGTTCAGCTCCGGGACAATAGAAACAGTGCTCGGACTCGACGATTTAAATTATTCACATTTTCAGCTACCTGACTTGCGTTTCCGCGTTCATTAAATGCAAAAATAAAGGATTACTTTTTACTAGAAATAATAAAAACAAAATTAATGAAAACCTCGATATTTTCTCTTTTTAGCACAACTTTTACGGCCTACCAGCTAGAAGAACTGGAGCGCGCATTCGAGAGAGCACCTTATCCAGACGTTTTCGCACGTGAAGAGCTTGCCATTAAATTAAATCTTAGCGAATCGCGCGTACAAGTTTGGTTTCAGAATCGTCGCGCTAAATGGCGCAGACATGATCCACCGCGTAAAACCGGTTATATTAAGACAAGCACACCACCCACCTCATCTATGAACACTACACTCGGACCGCCATTCGCCACTTTTCCACAAACGACTACCGTAACGCCACCGGGTAGCATGGACAGTTGGACAAGCTATCAGCCGCCCTACGAATTGAGTCCACAATTCAGTTTGCTCTCACCAGCCGCCAGTCCATATGGTACCTACTCCAGTCAATATGGCACATATGTGCACGAAAGCCAACTGTTCCCAATGCGTCACTTTGAGTATGGCAGTCCGCCGCGACTGGAAATGGGCGGTCCGAGCAGTAGTGCAGATGACGGCAGTGCGCCGCACAAAATACATATGACCGATAGTGGTTATGGACCGTCTACGATCGACGAGGCTGCAGCCGCTTCAGCACATATGACTGATCACAATGTCGTTGTGATGCATCATCAAGTCACAAGCAATGGCAACAAATATTTAACTAACGAAGAGGCGAAATATGTAAGTGTAGGCGGTGTGTCGCATGCCCTAAGTCCATTGGATGCACATCATGCAAATGGTGGCTGTCATGTAACTGATACGCAAACACATCCACATGATGGTAATCTACATATGAAACAACAACACTATGGTAGTATTGTTGCGGGTTCGGTGGGTTCACAAGGTGTGGAAGATGGTGCGTGTAATGATGGTACTACGTCTAGCCTACAAACTGTGATTAAGAATGAGGATAACGTTAGTGCTGGACCAGGCCAAGGTGGCTCCAATGTGACACATAGTTATGTTTTGCCGCCTTTTTTGCACTAAAGGAAATGCTCTCACATCGGAAACGGCACCACCATCAGCACCATCATCAACAGCAGCAACAACAATTCCAGACACACTGGTCTATGTCGAGAACTGCGTCCAATTTGCGAAGACGTCACATACAGAAAAACACGACTAGCACCTATGTTGCGAGGAATTGCTTTCAGCGGCCAATTTAATAGGAATTGAGACAAATGAAAATAAGAAAAACGTTAGCAGAACTGGCGTGACGAGCATTTCAAACATTAGATATTATTATTGTATTATATGTAAATTCAATAATTTTGGTTCCTTTTTATTTTTAAGTACATACAAGTATGCATACACACGTGGAGGGGCTTAAGTTGTAGATACAAATGTAACTTTGCTTCTTTTTTAGAAAAGATAATTAGAATATACAAATCTACATACCAGTGCAGGAATGTCAAGATGTAAAATAATAATAATATGGCTGTACATATGTACATATTTAAATTCGGTAAATGTAATGAAAAGACATACGTCGAAAGCAACAGAATCCAAAGTCTTGCCATGTTCATTTAGAGTTAAAGTGGTCCATGGAATTTACTTCTAGGATTGAGGAAAATATACTCGTATTTTTCATTTTTTACTACAAGCGTTTATTGAGTGTTGGATCTGAAATTATTATTTTTCTTAAGCAATTCATACACATTAAAATAAGAATACGTATTAATTTCTTTTTAAAATATTTATAATATTTCATAGTAATTTTACGCTTCAAAACGATTAACTCATTTCCAAGTGAAAAATACGGGTATTTTTCATAGTTCATAGCTAATAATATCGCATTATATAGTTAATTAATTTTATATTATTTTAATTACAAACAAAAATGTATTAGAATTAAATGAAATCAAACATCAACAATTAGAGATAATTGCAAATTATTCGGTTTATTAGAATTAGGTTCACATTTTTCTAAAATGTAAAAAAAAAAAAATTAGTGCATTCCGCATGTGCCTTGGTATATAATTAAGAAACTCTTAAGATTCGTAATTAAATTTTAATTTAAATGAAATACTTTAATATTTGTATATATGTATATATGTAAAACGCGATGCATTCAAATCGTGCCTTATTGGATTATATTGTAATTTAAACGCATAATTTTTCAAATACACAATTATGTTTGTTTAAGTAATGAAGCTCATTAAAAAGGAAACTTTTTATGAGAACCTGTTGTGAAATTGACAATATGATATTTGTATATGTATGTATGCTTATTTATAGATATTTTAGATTAGTTTCTTTTTCTATGAATTTACAAAATATTATATAATATTTAATACTAGTTTAATACATATCCAAATAGAATCACATTTCCTTTCAATTTACATAATAAATTAATTTTTTAATTCAAAAAAAAATCCAAAAACTTAATAACACTGTTTCAATACTTCTAATTTTTGACTGTTATACCAATTTAAAATATTAAAAATTAATTTAAAATATTTAAATAAAAAATAAATATCTGATTATGTTTTGTTTTTTAGGTGACTAGTTTGCTCTAACTAAAATGAAATAATTATGCAAAAAAAGGAGATTTAGAAAAAATTCATGTACAAATTGTAAAATTTGTCTTTTCATGGCCAATGTATTCATTTTATATCGAATAAATTACAAAATGTAATCTTAGCGAAACTGTTGAGTTACTTCATGCGATAAGTAATAGCTTGCAAGTAATTTCATTACTATTGAAACCAGTTTGTGTTTCATTTGACTTTTGTAAATCTGATCTGATTTCTCTGAATGCATTTTCTTTTACAAAGAAAGTTTATGTATTATAAATATTTCATAAAAATTACCCACTACAAAATCTACGTCTATGGCTTTGGATTCATCTAAAGTTTTTTTTTTTTTTTTTTTTTGTTAATACTATTTATTACAACCAGTTTAGCAATTTTGCAAAGACTCCCAATTTGTACCGCTGAAAAATGTATGTTTTTGTATTACGTCATAATCTGCACGCTCTTCTGGCTTTTGCTGCAATAATTTTTCAAGCAAATCTTTGGCACACTCCGATATTTCGAAATTTTCAGGGTATTGTAAAAATCCATATAAATCCATATTTCCGGGGTGCGTTGATTTAAAAGGCTATAAGTATATACACATTATAATTTATTCAAAATATATTTTTTGAAGCATATGAATGCATTGCATGCATTAACATACCAGCCCTAAAAGCAATTGATAAAGTATTACGCCATAGCTCCACCAGTCTGATCTGAATGTGAGTGGCCGCTCAGGGGCAACATAATGTCCATCTAATGCAGCATGACTGTATGCTTTGTGCATATAGCTGTCGGTATCGCTTAGACCTTCATTTTGATAAAAATATGTAAGTAATAATTGACCTTTGGCACCAAGCAATAAATTATCCATATGAAGATCGCTGAAATGCCATTAATAATTTTTTTAATATTATTTTGCATACAATATTATTAAATTTGTTGGCACTCACCCTAATATGACACCTTTCCCGTGCAGACTGTGTATAACAACAGCCAATTCCCGTGCCCATTGTTTCAAGCTAGCTTCTGGAATTTTGTAGACTTCGCAAATAACCTTTCCCGAGGGAGAGCATTCATCGTGCTTTGATGCTTCTAAGTCTTTATCGCTCGTTTTATTAATTGTATTTGGCGTTTCTTCCAATTTTTTTATCTGTTGCAAAGTTTTTGAAACTGATTGAAGTAGTTTTTGGGACGAACGCACCAGCTCACTGAACTCAGAGGAATCTGCAAGTGGTAATTCTACATAGTTCGATTCAATAGAACTAGGCATGCTAATGGTTTCAGCATAATCTGAATCTTGGGTGCTATCGGGATCATTTTGCGTACAATTGACATTTAGCGATGTTTTCGGTTCCATTTCATCTGGGAACAATACTGAGAAATAATTACTTGCCCGCGACGCTGCTCTGGGTGTGTATGATTGAATATAGTCATAGAGACGACCTCCTTCAGCATGTTGTAATAAGAGAAAAATTTTCTGATCTGATTGGAAGAATGCTAACAGATCGACCATGTATGGTACATGTTGTGGCAAAAAAATTGTTTGTGTAGGCGCGTTACTGGAAGGCTTTTCAATTCCTTTCATAACATATATTGCACGCGGTTCAGGCTCTGTAACACAATAAACCTGCATTACACTATCTCCAAGTACTTTCAGAACTTTATATTTTGCCAAGTGGTTCCATGGACGCTCTAGATAGAGTGGTTGGCCATCTACAGTGCTTTCTGTTACATCGATAGACAACTGAAAGTTCTTTACTCCACCGCCAAAACCTCTTTGAGTGGAATTGTCACACAAAAACTTTTCATAGATGTCATCAGCGCGCGCTAGATATTTGGATATTTTAGCTTTTGCAATGAATCTGCGCTCGTCGTTCGTATCATCTTTAAAAAAAAAATAAAATCTTTACTTTCACACATACTTATTAAAAGGAAATGTATAAAAGATATTTAACTTATAGGTAACAAATATTATACAAAAAAAATAAATAAATAAAAAATACATACAAACGTTGGAAACAACATTTAAAAAAATTTTAGGCTTTAAAATTATATTTTCTATTTCATAATTAAATAAACCAAATGAAAATGTTAATTTCAAGGTCGAAAAGCGAATAATATAATAAAATATATATGTTTAATAAGTAGTTTTCTTAAATATGAGACTTAATAAATTTTTAATAAAAATTATTAAATCATTTATTAATTTAAAATTTGTAAAGAAAGATTCGATATGCTAATTTTATGTATGTTTTACCTTTTGACCCAAACAAAAGTAGCTCAACACCTCGTTTATAACGCATATGGGCCTCTTGATAATCCAGATTTGCCTCTCCTTGCACTGCTTTACTGAATTCCAACGCAGCTTCGTAAATATAATCACTATCATCACTTTCAATTGAAGCCATAGGTGTTAAAAAACGTTTATAGTCATTACAGGGCGTCTCTTTCTTTTCATCTTCTTTGTGTATTACGTTTTTGTCAGTTTCAAATCCCACAAGTATAGACTTCCCTATATTGTCCTCATTTTCATATGTTGATATCGCAGTAGTTTTCAATTTGTCCACGTTTTGCTGATTTGTGTTTAGTGAATCGAATTCGGTAATACTTCTTTTCATGTCGTAGGTGTCGCAGCGTAAACTTAAGTTGTCGGATAATTCAGATTTTCCATTATTTCTGCGGACTTCCGTAGAGTATAAATGATGTAAAGGAGATACATTTGACATAAAAGATGTGTTATTCAGACTTCTATTCGCAACGCCCCCAATACCTGTTTGCTGTGCTTCACTAAAGAATTGAGTAAAAGCATGACACTTATAAAGTGCGGAGTGTTGTGCCACAAAATCTAGTAGTTGTAAAATATATTCTTTGCGACGACTTATAACGTTAGCATCAAATCGCTTGAAGAAACTACAATCAGTCGGTTCGGGAAGTTGGCCTGGCAATTTAAGACTACGGTGGCGACGAGACAGCTCGCGGTGTAATCGTTTAACATCATGAAACCGTTTCCAAATTGTTAGGCAAGTGAGCGCTTGAGGGAGAGATCTTGGAAATACCTATACAAGAATTGGAAATATATACCAACATTACAATTTATATACATTGTACATTGATATATTTATTTTCGTAATTACAATTGACGTGATTTTGTAAATGGTATAACCGCCTTTGTGAGTTAACGTGTCTGTAACTGTAAAGCTGTGGATCCAACCGTCAAGATTAGGAGACATTTTGACCGTATTCTATTGTTTATTCACGGAGCACAAATTTTTTACCAGCGATTAGTTTATTTTTTCCATTTTATTTGGTATTTTGCAACTGAATATAGTTGAGTAGATATTTATGAATTCTCTGGAAAACAGATGTTTTAAATTTTTTGTTGATTGCAACATAGTTGCCGGAGTTCATTGATTGTATCTAATTGTTGCGAAAATGCGAGGCGAATGTCAGATGAAAGAGAGAAGCCGATAACTAGTACGTTCTAGAAACGATAAAACAAGAACCTTCCATAGCGAACAATTCGATGCTTCTACGCTTTCGTCTGCGAGCAGCCGACTGCTATATAAAGGCGACACTCAGCTGCAAGTCAAGCAGTGACAAAGCAAATTGGTTGGCGTTAACATCAGTGAAGACGTAAAGTGAACGCGTTGGGAATTACATTTAAGTAGAGTAAATTGTGAAAGTTGATGTTAGTGATTATAAATAGTAAAGTGCAGTATAATTGAATTGTGAATTACTGAGAAAATAAAGGACATTAGATAGAATCTTTATAACGAAAGAAACTGCAAATTAAGTTGGCGAGTTTTTATTTAACAATCCAGAGATCGTACCCGAAGGATCTAGAGAATAATCGAGGTTGATTTAGTAAAATCGTAACATAATAGTTGGTATTTAACGCAATATTCATTGAAATTAACGAGAGTATAAAACGTAACGCTAAACAAGTTAGGAATGCTGAAGATGCAATAACAGGAGCAACATAGATTTTTATGACTGCCGCTCAATAAAACCGTTATAGTTATTATTATCTATTAGAAATATCAGAAATGCAAAAACATAAACAACAAAATCGATGTGACAACTGACAACTGACAACTCGTATATCATTAATTATTAAATTTCTTATTTGCTCATTGTGCTAATTTAAATATTAATTATTTTCAAATTAAATCTTGTATCCAGTCATACGCAAGTATAGTTCAATAGATGACACTGGAACAAACTTTAAATAAATTGTGTCTAGTGGCAAGGTCTATGGGTGCATTGTCAATAATTAAACAACAAAAATGCGACGATCAAGTGACAGCAGTAGTGAGATGAAAAATGAACGAATTACCACCAACAAAACCTCCGCGAGGAGTTAAATACGGAAAAGATGAGGTAATTATGATTAAAAACTGCTCAAAAATATTAAAATATGGAACAAAAATAGCCGAGAAGAATTTCTTATAAATGAGAGAAATTAAAAGAAAAAATAGTTTGTATAAAACAAGATTAAATAGCTGCTGTGTTATAAGAAGGGGGTGGTGAACTTTGTCATCACAAAAGATGTCAAAAGATAATTCCAATATGGCTTTGTAGCCTCGAGTTCATTAAAATATAGGGCGTTTTCTATTTATTTTATGTATTGATACGCCTTATTCTAAACAAATCTTCTATTTTTAAAATACAGACAGGTTGCGGTTTTCTCGTTAATGTCATTAAATCGCTGGGCTTTAGTGAGACAACGGAGGAGCGGCAACAAGAGAAACTTAAGATTGAAAAGGAATTCAAACGTTCTGATCAGCGCCTTAACGAGTTAGTGTCGCGTCATGATCAGCAGTTAACACAAGTTCTGCCACTTTTTAGCCAAGTGTCAACAGAAATTACAGCAAGTCGTGAACGGATTCATGGAGTGAAGGAAAACTTGGGTGCTTGTAAGCGATTACTACAATGTCGCCGAGATGAGTTGAAAAAGATGTGGACAGATGCAGTGCAGCACAAATATGTGCTAGAAATGCTAGAACAAATGTAAGCTCAATAAAACCGATTTTTAAGTTAAACCGAAGTTTAATAAATTTTTTTTAAGCAATGAATTGCGTAAAGTGCCTCAGCGTATTGTAAGCTTTTCGACAAAGCGGCAATATCTACATGCAAGCAAGGCGCTTACCGACGCACTTGCGACTATACAAGGCCCACTTAGCGGCGTAGAAGGCCTGGCCGACTTACGTGTTGATTTACAATCTCGTCGTCAGCAATTATATCAACGGCTACACGAAGAGCTCGTTACACAATTGTATAAAAATTCCGCAGCAGAAGCGTTTTCGAATTTTCAACGCAACAACTCTAATCGTTTGAATTCAAGTTTTACACGTGGAATCGGTGCAAGGCGTTCCACAGATCGAATAGAAGCGAATGCAAGGGTTCGCAAAGCGCTCATGGAAATGGCGCAAGGTTTTGATCTTGAGAAGTCAGAAGTAATTGATGATGGCGATTTAGTGGACCCTGAACTTAGTATGACATACTTTATCTCAATTATTGTGGAATGTTTTGGCATGCTGGGAAAGGTACCCGAGTCATTAGAAGTCTTGCGTGTACAAATACAGACTCAACTTTTAGAAGTAGTGCGGCATACAACATACCAATTAATTTCGTTAAATTGTAATGTTAATGAGCGCGATAGCCCGTTATTAACGCTATTAGAAGTCATATTTAAACAGTTCAAGGCTATTGCGAGAACCCATTCACTTCTATTAAAAAACTACTTGGCTGTTGTACAAAAGTATTCGGTAGTAGGACCACAACCGTACGATTTGACTGATTTCTGGGCCCAGGCACAATCTGTGGTAAGTTTTTTATATGGTTACTTTTTTAGAGTACATCTTGAATTCCCAAATTTATTACTTCATAGTTACAATTGCTTTTAACCGATTATTTGGATATACAAAATGCTTCCGTAGAAGACGCACAGTCCGCATTCGCTGAACCAATTAACAACATAAATTCATATTTTTTACGCCGCAAAGTTCCAAGGTAATAATATACATAAAAAGCTTAATAAATACACCACATTAAAAAGTCCAAGCATTAATAAGTGTCTACGCTATGAGGGACAGGATGTTTAGGCAAAGGGAAGGTGTGTTAAATAAGCCGTTTGACTCTTAATGGAGTTCGGCAGTGAACACATGCTTAAACAATAAGTAATTATAACGACCGTAGTATGCAATATGAGGTTATATTTACTTAATTGTTGCTTTCATTTACAAATTCATTATGTTTTACACGGTATAAGAAAAAATTGTATTTTCAACTAAAACTTTTCTAACAACTAAAATTTTAAAAACTGCTCAAGACATCGCAAGCAAACTATTGTGCGTTGGTTAGTATAAAAAAGTTTATTTAAAAATATACATATGTAAATTAAAATATTGCTCAATTGTACTGAATAACCTCATAAATGTAGTTTGAAGTAGTGTAAATAATTCGAAGTTTAAATCGTATAAATATTTTTGATATTTAATTAATATGTATATATGTTTTTATATGTCTTAGCACCAAAAAGTCGCTTTTTAAGTTCGATAAATCATCGCATTATCCCCAACAACAAAATGCCGAGCCTTCAGCAGGAAGTAACTCAGTCAAAGAGCACCGACGTAATGCCTCTGATGTTTCTACCGATGATAATTTAACCGCAGCTGCACTTGGTGGTGGTGGTGGCAGCGGCAGTGCCAGTGGCAGTGGTAATTTTGGGCATAGTAAACAACAAAGAGAAAAACTGTTGATCTGCAAAGCAGACCAAAATGTGATAACAAAAGTATATTTACCACTTATGAACTACATACAAGAAATTGAAGGATTTATGAAATGCAAGCCGGGGTAAAACTTTAATTGATTCATTTCTATCTTTCAATAAACATTTTCCTTTTTGCCCATAGCCAACCATGCAGTTTGCACGATTTCATCGACAATTACATTAAGGATACGTTCCTATCGAAGGGCCACAATCGTAATTTACAATTAACCATCGAATCATTATCGAAGAATCAGGATGCTTGGCGTACAATTATAACGCCTGAAGAAATGAAAGCAATGAGTTTATCACGCCCTCTTTTGCAATCCACCGCCATGGTAGAGCGACGTTTGCAAGAAACCAAAATACTTATACAGGAATTGCCATGCTATTCGGATGACTTGCTTAAAATGGTATGTGCTTTGTTGAAGACGTACCGGGAAATAGCGCAGGCCGCTTACAGAGGAGTAGTGCAACCTGATTCGGAAGATAAACGCATTTATAGTGTGGCATGGTTAAAGGATGAAGACATTAGCAGATTTTTAAAGTATGCGTGCAATAAATTTATGTAACTTTCAGTTAAAAAGTGAAATTCTATTCAACAGAACATTACCTAATTGGACTGACTTAAAGACATCCAGTCAGCGCGTGAAGCACGGTAAGAAGCTACAACGCAACAATTTCGAGCCATCAGAGGAGGAAAGTCCATTACAAGTACAACAACGCAACATACGTGAAGCTGAAATGCTAACAAGCAATTTGGGCGAGGGTGGCATTACACAGCAGGAAATTTTAGCAGATATAAGTGTGTTGAAAGAACTGGCTGTATTACAAGAGAGTATTGAATGGTTCTCTGGTCGTGTATCAGAATTCGCCAATGAATTGCGCAAACCGTTGGTGAATGGTCTAAATGTAATTACGTCCGAGTGTACGGCAACGCACGCAGCAGCCATCAAGGATGGAACGATTAAAGTGTTGACAAACTTAGCCCTAGAGTTCGATGAGCTAGCAAATACTTGTTTGTTGGTGTTACATTTGGAGGTGTGTTTTAAAACGCTAAATTGAAAAGAATATTCAAGAATTCATCAACATGTAACATGAAAAAATGTCTATTTTCTTTCAGGTTCGGGTGCAATGCTTCCATTATTTACGTTCGAAATCTACCATCAAATCTAACAGTTTTATGAATAGCAAGGACGATGACATCCTCGAGCCCGATCGTCAGGTACAAATGCTAACTAAGCGTTTAGCGGAAATGGATGAAGCTTTCAGTGCAACATTGCATCCACGTAAAACTAGAGTATGTATTGCTTAAATAAGAATAAATTTTAATTTGTTTAATATTGTTAATTGTATATGCAGTACATTTTCGAAGGCTTGGCTCACTTAGCTGCCCGTATACTCATACAAGCTTCCAATTATTTGGAACACATCGATCAAGCGACTGTGCAGCGCATGTGTCGCAATTCGCTAGCACTACAGCAAACATTGAGTAATATTACAGCGTCTCGTGAGGTGGCGCTGGATCAGGCGAAGAACTTTTACGAACTTCTTTGCATGGAACCGGATGTAAGTTTGCATATATCAATATTATTAAATGTGGTAATATTAATTGACATTTTGTTTTACAGGACATTCTTACCAACATTGTTGAAAAGGGTGCCCAGTTTACGGAAATGCAATACTTGAATGCTTTGCAGTTATCATGTAAAGCGCGTGGCATTACCGACACTAACGCTTTAGCGTCATATCAGCAAAAGTTATCAGACATTTTGGGCGCAAAGCCATCAACAGGCATTGTTGTTTAAAGAGTTAGAAAAAAAAATTGTTCTAACAACTTTACTTTAGCAATTGAGACTGTTCGTTTCGCTTAAATTGAAATTATAATAACTAGCTATGCCTATGCAACTATGCTGCTACGTTTCTAAGTATATTGAGAAGCATTAACGGCTTTACTGATACAAAAAGAACTTTAAATACAAGCAAACTTCACTGGTGATACACCTGATTACTATTAAAGTAAATTATATATAAAATTTATTAAACATAGAAATGAAAATTATTATATTTTTTTTTTTGTAATTCTAGCGGTTAGTACATTCCTTTTGGTGATTTTTATGCTAATAATCTGTATGTTGTTGTTGTTGTTTTCGTTTTTGTTGTTGTTGTTGATGTTGTAACAGCGCAAATATTGCTCAAAGAAATTTTAGGGGAATGTTGCGGGCCGTCTAAAAAATCCGTGTCGTTCCGGTATAAAGACCCAACTGTCGCGTGAACTATTGGATTTTAGTCGCGCATAACCGATTCCATTCGCCTGTTTGGTTTTCAAGTAGTTAAGCTTTTTTGTTAAGCTGTAGCCGTGTTTAGAAGACCATACTGTTGTGGAATATCCGTTTGGAGGCGAGCTACGGACGTGGTTGAGCATTTGGCTTGGGAACTACCACATAAAAACCACAGTGAAATATTGCAAAAAAAAACCTTGGATTAATAGGAGGTGTGATAATGAACGCGGCAGTCGTTCACTATTAATTTTAAGGAGTATAATATTTTGCTGTGCAAGCAATTCCTGTTGGGATGCCACGTCAGGGAGCACCCCAACAGACATTTAAGAGAGGCTGAACCTCAACTCAGGCACATTAGAAAGGGACAAAAATTAAAGGTTACAATTCAGCAACACGTTCAACGACCGCTGAACTGGACGGGGTACAGACAGGCACTAAACATCATTCACCTAGAATCAGTTAACACCTTCAAAAACTCTCTCCCTGTGAATGACGTTCTCGGAGTTAAACCGAGAGAGCCGCGCAATACTGGCGTAACTTGGATCTGGATATTCTAGCAGCTCAAACTCTTACTTATATACTACTCGACCACAACATACCCAACGTATGACCAGCATGTGATGAGTCCTCCCACGACACTAATAATATCTTTACGTGGTCCCTAAAACCTACACATCTAATCTCTCTCTCTCCGGTCCGAGTCCGTCGGAGGAGCTCGTTTTCTGAACATCCGGTTAGATGACCTCGGTCACTTAGACTAACTAGCCTGTCCTTAAGCGGGATAAAGCAATAACTACAACAACAACAGGATCACTATTTGAAGTCACTTATGTCCCTAACTTTGGCGTGTGGCGTTGTCCATCTTGTTGAAATGGATGGAAGACGGTAGGGCCTAGCGAAATCTACTTCAGAGGCCTCATAAACGAGCAGAAATTCGGTTTTGAATTTGTGGTAGCAGTAAGAGGTCGTCGCCGTTGTTATTGTAGAACAGGTGAATCACACATTTCAGAAAGAACTTTCCGGTGAGGCATGTGCACAATCGGCAGGTATGTAACAGCGACGAGAAACACTGCCGGTAAGTTTAGTTGAGTAGAGTACTCTTTAGTGTCAATACTGGTGTCAAGTGAAATCAGTAACATTGGATAAATTCGTTGCCATAAAACTATTTTGCGTTGTGGGATTTGCAACTCTGTCACTTAAATTGTGAATGATAAGAGTAATAAGAAGTAGCATTCCAGAATTTGCCGGCATCAACATTGACTTTTCAGATTAATTTATAATACAAATATTTAATTAAAATGCCGCTTAATGTAAAATTAAATAATGAAAAATCTCCCGACTCAGAATCTCCACTAAACAGAGCTGACAATGAAACGAAAGCTGAAAATGGCACTAAAGCTCCAGATGTGAAGCCTACTAGTGAGGAAGTGACAAAAGCAAGCTATGATTTATCGAAATTCAAACTAACACGTATACTACAAAATAATACATTACGCAAAACCATAGCGGTAAGAAAATTGTAAATATGTTATAATTTGCGATTAAAATATTTGTTTTATATATAGCTACTTGGCACATTTCCTGATGTTTCCGATAATGATTTGGCCGTTCTGTTGCTGGAGAAGCAAGCATTTAAGGAACAAGATGTGCAAACAGCACATGATAATACCTTAGAAACTGTGCCCAGTATATTTAGTGACGCGCTACAAGTCTGTACTGAGTTTATTAACAACATTTATGGCAGTTTTAAATGTGTTCCAAGTGCTGAGTTAAATAGTAAACATATAAATGCAACAACATCAAATATGGGTTTTTACTTTTTACGTTGCATCTCATTCTAGGCATTAAGACGACTGTAGTTTATCCAGCTACAGAAAAGCATATTGAAAAGTATTCAATAACTCAAAAATATCTGATTGCCGAAACTCCAGCGCTTTATGAGCAACTAACTTTACCCTATATAACGAATAGCCAGTTTAGTTTAGACGTAAGTTGATATTATTATTTACTTATTTATATATATATATATTTATATTAATTAAATATTTGCAGTGGGTATACAATATATTAGAACATCGGCAGGAAACAGATCGCATAGTATACGAAGATTCAAATCCCGAAAAAGGATACATACTTTTACCCGATCTGAAATGGGATGGCAAAACTTTAGAAACTCTTTATTTGCTTGCCATTGTACACAAGCATAATATTAAATCTTTACGTGATCTCAACGATTCACACTTACCGCTTTTGTATAATTTGCGCGATGGAATATCAAAAGCTATAGAGAAGCGTTATGGATTGTGTTATTCACAGTTACGTATGTATTTCCATTATCAACCATCATTCTACCATTTGCACTTGCATATAAATCCAGTGCGAGGTGATGCGCCTGGAATTTGGTGTGAAAAATCACATATGCTGGATACGGTTATAACTAATATTGAGTTAATACCAGACTATTATCAGCGTGCAACATTGCCATTTGTTTTGTTTGAGGGTTGTAAGTTACTTGATGAATTTGAAGAAAAAGGCGCCGTCCGAAAATCCGCTGAAAAAGTAAACAATAAAGAGAAATTAAATGATGCAGTGGAAAAAGGTTGTACAGATGAATCAGTTGATGAACCCCAAGTTAAAAAAATAAAGATTGATAAGTCCGTCAAAGATACAGAAGAATCTCCAATTGAAAAGTAAAAAATAAACGGTGGAAACCCCAGAGCATATTTACTTCTCCTCTGCAGAGAAGTAATTATTTTTATTTATAATAAACATTTGACATCGGATACTGTAATAAATGAAAAGTACTGGAAAAATTAGTGAACAAGTATTTTACTTTTGCGTTCAAATTGTAGTTTTTTTTTCATTTTATACTTTCAGTTAATGAAGAAATATTAACCTGAAGAAATTATGGTGTAGAGATAACAAAGGATAAAAAAAATGTATTTGATTATTTTTGCTTTCATAGTAATACATCATTCCATGCGAGTCTGTCCATATACATATGAATATATATATATATATTTATGTATCTAAGGCCGTCCGTTCGCCGTTGTTGTCACTTGCTTTTAATGTCAATTTAAATTTATGAAAGGAAATTAAGCATTAGGCACAAAGCTCGTTTCATACATTACACAATTTACATTTGCCCGAGAATTGTCTGACGAATAAGAACACTTCAAAAATATCTTTTTCTCATGCATAGATTTTCATTATATGAAAATTGCATACGTTTATTTGCTTGATGCTTTTATGTGATTTTCATTGTATGTATGTATGTGTTATAATATTTATGAAGCGTTTCACTATGATTATTATCGATTTATTTGAATTTCGCTTGTGTAGCATATTAAACACTAATATGTCGTTATTATCGTGTCAAGTGTCCAGTGTATTGTATTTAAATAAACATATATTATATAAATGAATGCATGTACATATGTATGTACGGTAGTTTAGTGTCTTGTGAGCATGCGTCTTTTGTTTATTTTTAATTATTATGTATTTAGATTTTAGACATTATTGTTGTTTTTTGTTTTGACTTTTACAGTGTTTTTAAATTTTCAAATACAATAAATATATTATTAGATAAGCTTTTGCCTATGCGATTTTCATATTGATGAACTGATTCGCTCAGTTGCAGCCTTAAGCCTTTCAGATCCATCATTTTCATTCAATAACAAGCATTATATTTATGTACAAGTGTGGACATTGCGGTCGGAATGGCAACAAATGGACACAAGCTGGGCAATTATGTATACATATATACATACATATGAGCACCAACATATAACACATAGTATGTATGTGCTATATATATGCAGAGACTATTCCTGCTCTTCCATGCACTTTTCTTTGACCAGCTCAACATATACTAATATGAGACCGAAAACTCTCTTAGCCCACCTGCGCCAAAATATCTGTTATTCTTCAAATATCCGTTACGCACGCGTCTTCCTTCTTGGAAGCCTTATACAATTTTTTTTTTTACTATATTCTATTACAATTAATTTCTTTTATTTGCACATTCTGCATATTATTTCGTTTGTCTTTGCCATCTGTTTATTTTATATTTTTTTATTAGTCATTTTGATTTTTTATTCTATCATTTTCGAAATATAATTAAAAACTTTATTTCTCTTTTAGTGTACTATATAAAAATATCCATAATCATTATACATGAAATGAACAATTATAAAACAAAAAACAATTGTCTGACTAAATGTCTAATATGCAGCACGACATGCGCCACCCATTGTGGCGCCATTTCTCTTATTAGCAATTTAAAAATATAGATTTTCACTCTATTTTTCATCCATAATTCTATGTACTTCTACTACTCTTCAGTTTTTTGAACATCAATATTACCGTTATTAAATATTTCAAAAAAAAAAATACTATTAATTGATAATTGTTGAGGCTGGGGAGGCTGAAGAGGTCGAGGCGTTTGTGGCGATTACTGTTGTTGGTGGAGCGGCAGAGGTCACATTTGCAATTGTTTCTGTTGGATTGGAAGATTGTATAATTTGTTGCCGAGCGTGTGTATAATGTATTTGTGGTGCATTTATGCTATTCAATGTAACCGTAGGGGGCATTGCTGAAACATCTATATGTTGCTGTAGTGGTGCCTGATCTTGCATTATTTGTTGTTGTGCATGGGTTGTAAATGATGGTGGCAGTGCTCCAGTTGGTGGCGTCGAAGTGTTTAGCACATGATGCTGAATGTGCTGCTGCGCTTGAAGTTGCTGATGAAGCGGCATATCTATATGCAATTGCATCGGCGGCGGAAAAGTTTGAGCATGTTGTTGCTCCTGTAATTGTTGTTGTTGCATGTGAAACATTGTTGCCGCGATTTCGGCACCCATCGTTGCCGCTTGTAAGCTGGGATTTGCCATTATTGCATTAGGATCCATATCTGCAACTGACCAATTACGTTCCATCTGATTAAGCGCTGCCAAAGTTGCTGTCGTTGCTGGTTTTACATCGAGATTTGATTGCATATTCACTCTACTTTCGCTATTAGCAATACCAGTACCAGTAGCAGCCATACCAATCGCACCAAAATTGCTGGAAGAGCCACCAGTACCGCTTGCACCAATTGTTACACCAGCTCCTCCAGGCATATGCTCATTTATAGTAGCGCTAAAGGTAAGCGCTTGTGCACCCTGCTCAAAGGGGCAAACACCGCCAGCGTTCACAGCAAAGCTACCACGTAAGGTTTCCTCTAATAATGCTTGTATTTTATCTTTGTCATCGATGTGCACGAAGCCGAGACGCACCAATTCATTAGTGAGATCGGAAGCCGAATCTTCTTCCGTAACCTGACATGTCAATTGCCTATTCATTTTGTCGTCCATACGGAGCAGTATCGTCATTGCGATATCGCTACTGTCTTCCTTTAATTTCTTAACGCTGCACATCATATTTACAATGCGACGTGACTCAATATCCACCGGCTCAGGCGTAGCCGATTTAACAGAGTCAGCACATTCTGGGGAAGCGGCGCGCGACCGAAAGTGTGGTGGTTTTTTACCACCTAACGCAGTCAAAGGGTAGACACCATATTTAACGTCTTCTACGAATTTTTCCAGTTTGTCTGCTGAGGGCACGTCTGAAAGACTATAGTCCTTTTCCTCTCCGCCATATGACACACGGGCCATGACCACTTCAGGCCGATTATAACGTTGCATCATGCCATCTATGACAGTCTCCGAAAACAAAGTTCGATTTTTGGGTGAAAATACCAAACAATGAGCGGCCAACAATTTAAGTGAATGCACCTGTACAGTAGCGTGATAAAAGAAATCAAATGAGAAAACAAATATTTAAAGTGGTATAAATTAAAAATAATTTTAAAATTTTACATAACTGTCGTTGATTAATTTTTCAACACTATGGGTATCTGTAGTAAAACAAAAAAGAAATAATAAAGTACATATTTTTAACATTCGCCAAATAATAAAAAAATTTCTAAAAATTTAACCTAAAGAAATTGGGATAAAAAATTAAATAATTATTTTCCTCGCTTCCTGTATGTACATATAAGAAAAAATATATATATTAGTTTGGCGTTCTATTTACCTCGAAGAGTAAAGGATGAAAGAGTAAATCGTTGGCACTTGGGCGCTCCGCAGGATTCCGGCGTAAGCACTTGAATATTAAATCGCGCTGCAAGTCATGCTCCAGGCTATTAATTGTTCGTAATATCGTTTCTTCACTGATAGAACTCGTTTCAGGGCCGCTTGGTTGGATTTCCAAAGCAGCCATTTCCAATGCACACATACCGAAGGCATATATGTCGACAGCGGCAGTCAACTGCTCGGCAGCCCCATATTCGGGGGCCATAAAATGATGCGTCTCGCTTTGATCACTTCGATGATGCAGACGCATATTGTAGTGTACCGCATCGGGCACAACGGCACCGATTTTCACCAGACCATTATGCTGAATAAAAATGCTATCACAGGTGAGATTGCCGTGTATGACAGGCGGTGTGCAGGAATGCAAGTAACTGAGCGCGGACAGAATCTGGGTACACCAGCGACGCCACGCCTCCAATGGTAAACGTTTAGCATTGCGTTTAGTGCGTTTGAGGAACTGTTTCAGAGACCCCGATGACATGTATTCTGTTATGAATATGACTCGTGGTCTTTCTGCATTCTGTGTATCCGTCCAATAGCGATGGAATTTGACAATATTTTGGTGATCTAATTGCAGCAGATTATCAAATACTTGCCGCATTTTATCTTCCTGCGACTTAAGCTCCTGCAAATTAGCATATTGCACCTCATTCCAAACAACCTCTACACCCTCCTCAGTGTCCATAGCCAGATGGACACAATCGATACCGGGCACATCACGTTGATCAACCTCTTCACGCCTTTTCAACCAACGCCCGCATGGCGACTCTTCAAGGATTTCACTTTCATCCTCCGAGTCATCGCCTGACTCACGCGGTGACGAATCCGCAGCCATATTGACTGAATCTGCAGTGACGGTTGTCGTTGAAGCGCCAATGATTTGTGGTGGCGGTTGCTGCTGTTGTTGCGACTGTGGCGCCGTTTGTGCTGCTGTGTTGGCCCCTCCACCACCGCTACCACTGCCGCCGCCTGCTCCATTGCTGTCGCTGCCGACGTTTACTTGGCCGCTTGACATTGGAGAGCGAATGTGCAGGGCGCGTTCACTGCTTCAGCGACTTCTGTCGTAATTGCGTTTGCTGTCACTGTTTCTCAAAACCCCTTATTTTTATTTATACTTATTTTTCCTTTAATAATTTCAATTTGAAGTTTTCCAAAGCTTATACTCGCTCTCTCTTATGGTTGGCTGGTAGAAATGTCGGTTAGTCAGTTGATAAGTTTCCTTGTTGTTTTAAGGCGTATCTTTTATTTGTGTTCGCTTTTAATTCGTTCCTCGTTAATAGTTTTTTTCTTCGTGGTACCTTTCTTGAAATCGTGTCACACCTCCTACCCCACAAAATACGACGTTTTCAGTTGATTGAATACGCACGATATGTGCTTTTTAAGCGATTTTTATTAGCTTCTCCATATAAATGCAACCGGCATGCACTATTAATTGATATTGGCAAAATCTTGTGCAATTTTGCTAATTTTTAGCAATTTGCACATCAAATATATTTCTTCACTGCACCGAGTTTTTTCTGGACACACTGACAGCAATCGATGAGTGACACTGACAGCCAGTGTTGTCAGTATTGTATATTTTCACAATGCTAGAAAACATGGTCTGACATTAAACAACAATACCTTTACCTTACTTTAAAAAAGTTAATTGTTACAATATTTACTACTCTAAATTTAATAAGCATTGTAACAATAAATTAATAAATCATTATTTGCTTTCATATGCCTGACGACTTCGTTGACAAATCTACTATTTTCATATTGCACGATGTTGTTGCCAACGTGACTAGTTAACGTCGTGTTGGTCGCTCTCTTATGAACCCCACCGATTACTTATACCCAGATCTGAAATATTGTGGCAGATATCCAGAGAATTCCATACTCGCGCTGTAGAATGTGTTTTAGTTATGGTTGTGGTTCCGAAAGCTGCTAGTCAGCAGAAATTGACTCTGTTTGCCAACATTTCTGAGCAAGATAATAATAAATTAATAAAATAATAGTCTTCCAAATATCATTCTTCTGTAAATAATTTGTTAGTCTCTGGTAGTTCGCTGTTAACTAAAGGTGAAATATCGTATAAAGGTGAAATAGTCTCTCAGCAATCCCTTAGGTGGCACAAATGGCAATCGGTACGCCCCAGTCCTTCTCTTTAATATACGTTCTTTGGTTATAAGTGGGCCTTTTTCATTTAGTTTCTTGGTCTCCCAATAGCCTGGATTCGATATAATACGTCGGTAAGACGTTTGATTACCTTAAAGGAATCTTCCCAATTGCAATGAAGTTTGAGGGGCAAGCCATTATTCCGCAGTGGGTTGTATAGCAACAGTAAATCTTCATCTTTAAAACCATTGTAGTTCTTGTCCTTATTATACCGAGCCTTCATCTTGTCACTCACAATGTTAGTTCTTTGGCTCACAAGAGCATGCATCCCTCTTAGATTTTGCTCTAGGACGTTGGACGCTTTATTCTCAATTCTTCTCGCATCAACAAATCATCAGGAACTGAGGTAAATGGATGTCCCAATCATCGTGATGCTTTTCCTCCAAGTTTTTCCTAATCTCCTGCTCAGGGACCATTGGCTGACTTCTGATTTACTTATTTGTTATCTAAATATCGAGACCTCTGTAAATCTGCTCCCAAATTTTTCAGGTATTTCTTAAAGCTTTGACCCAATACGAAGATGCCCCCCAGATATCTGGCCTTCTTTGTCACATCATTTAGTTTCCGATAGTCCACGCAGAGACGCAATTGAACGCATGCACATGCACTTGCCGATGGTTCGATAACACCACTCTCCCTCATTTATTTTATTATTTTGCTGAGTTTGACGAATGATAGCTGTGTTGGAGTATTTGCGCAGGAGTTACCTGGCCTATATCTTCCGTTCATGCATTGCATGTCCTTCATACCAAAGGAATAGATTTCATGTAATTCTCTGCAGTGAGATCCGGCGCTGAATAGAACTTTCTGGTGAAAATTCACCGGACATGCGACGCGCTTGATGGAGTGTTCGCTATCCCCTTTCTGTTGATGTTTGGATTTCTTCGAGACACTCATATGGACATTTACGTGAAAAAGTAGCGAAAGGGCAATCAACATAAAATCTAGCTACGTGCGATTGGGTCCCGCTAGATTGGCGTTTGTATTGAAAAAGTTAATGGGAGAAGTCTTGATCACTTAACTCATTAGCGTGTGAAGGCATGTCATGAAAATGGACATCAGCAAAGAGGAAACACGCTATATTATAAAATTTGTCTCCGATAAAAGCACTACGTGGATGTAATCTGGTATAAGTACATCACTTCTTATACCAAAGAGAAATGAGAACAATCGTGGTCGGAGGACAGTGAGTCGGAACAAACAGTCTTCAAGCCAGGTTTGACGACTAGGAAGGTTATGTTGTGTGTTTGTTGAGATTGTCAAGGAATCATCTATTATGATCGATTGTCTCAAGGGTTCCTCTGAAAAAGAGCGTAATGACATTACCTTCAAAAGTTAACAAACAAAAAGGTGCATATTTGGCATTAATCGGATAATGCTAACTATGGTTAATAAAGCTTAATGCATAATATTTTATTTTTTTTTAGTTTTCTTAAATTAAGAACTTAACTTTTAGATCTTAAATACACTAATAAAAGGAGTTTTCTCTTACTACAACTTTTGAGTGGTACTATTCATCTCAATTGCAAGCGACNCGAACGACACAACTGTTTAAATAATACAACCAACTTTGGTGGAGTAGGCTGCACTTTGGATGCATATAATATTAAAAAAAAAAACAAAGTGTGCGGGTGAACCTCGCAATGAAGTATAAATTTTTTCGTTATCTTGTACAGTCGACTCTCGTTAATGGGAAACTCAAGGTACTCTTAAAATATTACACGAGCCACTCATATGGACATTTACGTGAAACAGTAGCGAAAGGGCAATCAACACAAAATCTAGCTAGATGAAGAATTGTTTATTTGTATCTCGCACAACAATTGAATCCATCTCTATGGGCGATTGGGTCCCGCTAGATTGGCGTTTGTATTGAAAAAGTTAATGGGAGAAGTCTTGATCACTTAACTCATTAGCGTGTGAAGGCATGTCATGAAAATGGACATCAGCAAAGAGGAAACACGCTGTATTCTAAAATTTGTCTCCGATAAAAGCACTAAGTGAGTCGGAACAAACAGTCTTCAAGCCAGGTTTGACGACCAGGAAGGTTATGTTGTGTGTTTGGTGATATTTTCTAGGAATCATTTATTATGAGCTGCTCCCCTACGGCGAAATTGGATCGTCTGAAGAAATCAAACGCCCAGAAGCGCCTAGCTTTGTACGGTGGTGGTGTATTAGTACATTGCCAGACCACACAAATCGATAGTGAGTCACTAGAGGTTCCGACAGCTTGGTTGGGAGTTTTTCATTCATCCATCCTATAGTCCGAACCTTGCATCAAGTAATGGCAACTGGTTTGGCTGGTGAAGAACTGGCCTTGAAAGAAGAGGGTGAAAATCGATTGTCTCAAGGGTTCCTCTGAAAAAGGGCGTAATGACATTACCTTCAAAAGTTAACGAACAAAAAGGTGCATATTTGGCATTAATCGGATAATGCTAACTATGGTTAATAAAGCTTAATGCAAAATATTTTATTTTTTTAGTTTTCTTAAATAAAGAACTTAACTTTTAGATCTTAAATACACTAATAAAAGGAGTTTTCTCTTACTACAACTTTTGAGTGGTACTATTCATCTCAATTGCAAGCGACTGTGCTACTGGCGGTGGTAATGTTTGGCCCACCTTCAGACGTTCCGGCAGAGACTCTAGTGTGTTATTTATACCATATGGTCGCAAATGATAGATGAAATATTCGAAAACATACATTTGATTTGGTGATACGTTGTTAAAGGAAATTGCACTATCCGAAAGCGGTTCAGCGTTCTAAATGAAATGAGAAAATAAATATTTAGATTTTTTTTTTAATATATGTACATATCTATGTGTGTTTGTATGTATGTATGTATGTATGTATGTATGTATGTATGTACTCACCTCATCAACTTTGTAGTAAATATATGTCCAATAACAGATATCTTTGGGTACCATATGTTCTTCCACATCAAGTGGAAAGAAACGGTTCCTAGCATATTGATCTCGTGAATCGCCCGCGGTTACATTTACTTTCTCCAAACATTTGCCCATTTCCACATCCTCAAAACCTCCATTATTCTCTCGGCAGATATCTTTATTTGGTAAAGCTTTTTCGACAAATCGGCGAACTGCCTCTTTACTGAGAACATAGCCAGAACCGCCAGACATGTAGCCCTGGAAATAATGTTTATAATGTATTTAAATTACTCATAAGTAAACAAAGCTATGTACATACATAGGTATATTAAGGCAAATAGGTAAAGATTTTATAAAACATTCTTTGTAAATTTGTAATTAAAACAGCTTTCAAGTTCTGGTATTAAGTCCAGTATACAACTATGAGAGGCCTACCTTTTCAGTGGCGGTTACTGCAAAGTTTAAAGAACGACGGGACATACTCCAGGAATTTTCAATCCACCAAGTTTTATGACATTCACACATACATATATTTGTGCACTACAGCCGACATGTCAAGGAACACAATTTTTGAAAAAGAAAGCCGTTACAAGCAGGAGCGAGTGGACGACGCCATGTACTCCTATATTGCCAATCTCACATTTTCGCACTCTCTTTTTCATAATTGGCGCGGTCATGGCTTACGCGTCCATTCGGGCTATGATCGTAAATCCAAAGGTTTGTGTTTGTAGTAAGGTAAGAAAATAGGCGACAAAGGCTTGAGATATGTGTTACAGGAGGAATCATGTTTGACTAAGGGATATGAACGGGTTTATTCATTCATTGAGCTCATTCGCAATTGAGAAGGCAGCACAAGAAATCCACAACAATGTGTGGTCTGGTTCACTATTACCGATATATATATATATATATATATATGTAAATATATTATATGTGGCGCTTTGTGGCGCTCCTCCTCCAATTTGTGGTATGCGTCTTGATAGTTTACACCTCCGAACGACCGATGGTTTTTTATGAGCAGCCTTAATTTCATGTCAGAAATATATTCGGAGGGGTTGATACTTCCCACCGTGGGCGAAAGTAATTACAAACTTTAACTTATTTTCTTATTTAAATCAATTTTTGGATGATTTTGGTACCAGGATTTGAACTCGAGCTTTCCGAATGGCAGTACGGAATGCTAATCACTCGGCTACCGCGCCCGGATATATCGATATGGTATGTGTATATAAAAATACCATGAAATAAAACTCCTAATAAAAAACATCATCCGTTCGGAGGAGGTTTAGTATAAACTGTAAAATGGAGGGCCATTGGTTGGAAAAATATCAAAACTTAAAACCACAAATTTAAGGAGGAGCTCGGCCAAAACAATCGCTTCAGCGGTTACAAACCAAAACTTCTCAAAGCTTCTAGTGAGTCATTGTTGGTGAGTGCGCTCCGGCATAGAAGGACGCTTCTGCTTTTAGACGGTAAAGGTTCGAATTAAGAGCTTGACGAATCTCACCAAACACACAACGAAACCTACCTGGCCGTCAATCCTGGCTTGAATACTGCCCTCCGACTGCGAGCGTTTTCTTGTCTTTACTGTAAGTGATCCACTTTTCACAACCAGTCAATAACCACTCCAGAAGTGGGTTGAGTTTGTTACAGCTCAGGTTTTGGGTCCTAACGGCTGATGGTTTTTTATGAGGAGCCTAATTTTTATTTTAAATACAATTTCTATAACTTTTCGTTGTTGGCGGTACCAGGATTTGATCCCGAGCATTTCGAACCACAGGAAACCTCAGTGGGTCAGTCAACGCTGTTTTTCAAAAAACGTTTCTACTATATGTACATACCTGTTTTCCATAATATTTAAATTTGTAACCAAAATATATGGGCGTCTCCGGTGAATAAGGATACAGCATGTAACGCATATTTTCCATCACAGCATACCTGCAAAGAAGATAAATACAGACATATTTTTAATTCATATATATTTAAAGCTCCAATAAGAAAGATACTCACGTATCATCATCCGCCTTGAAGAACCAATCCGCATCGTTTAAATGATGTGCATATATATATTTGAATGCCTCTTTCGTTTTTCCCCACAAATGGTTATAACCTTCTTGCGCTGTCAAGGTTACGGTGCCCAGTTCTTCATCTAACTTCGAGCTCATAAAAAGTAATTTATTACAACGTCGTCCCCATGTTCGTTTCACATGTATTGCTTTAGATTTATGATTTTTCGGGCTTGTTAGGATCCAACACAATACACGCACTTCATTGCTCAACCTCTTCGATATGCTGACATTTTCGTTAGTATGTTGGTGTGCGACAACATCGGCTGCGGGTCCTTCCTCACCGAGCTTATCGTATGGCAGATATTCATGACGTGAAGGTGTCGATAATATAAGCATTTGTGTGAGACAAACACCCACAATGAACCCGACTATGAGTAAACTCAACGATCGTCGATTCCAGAAAGAGAGATATAGATGAGAATAAGCTACCATCTTCGGTATTCAAATGCAACTGATCCAAATTTAAATCGACGTCGTATTAAATACGTTTTCTGGCAAATGGTGTTTAATATTAAAATGATTTAAATGCATAAAATATAAAACACTTGTTTTAACAACACTTTGTGTATATAACAAGATTACCATATAGTATATATCCATATTTAAGAAATTCATTTAATATTTGTATATTAGGCTGGGTAAGATTATTTATTTTTCTGTTGCGTTGAATGCAGTATTGCCCGGATAGCAGAGATCCATTTTAAATTTTTTTTCTCATTCTTCATCTCTGACGTAGGAGCAACTTACGCTTTCACGTAGGTAGATGAGATAGATCCACCAAATTGTATAATGTTCGGATCAAACTGACGTGCCATACGTATATAAAAGTCAGTCTTTGAATTATTTCAACCAAACTTGTAAGCGAAGAATTTCAACGAGAAATTCAGGTTGAATTCACAATTCACACATCGAAGAGAACAATTGCACGGCGTTTGGTCGAATCTGGACTTAATGGAATAGTAGCACGCAATAAACCGCTTCTGACCAAAATCCAAAGAAAATGACGTGTAGGCTTTGCCCCATCCTCCTTAGAGTTGGACCCTAAAAAGGTCGAAATAAGTCGTTTGGAGCTATGAAACGAAAAATAGTCACTTTGGTCCTGATCGTCGGAGGTATGTTCGACGGCCAATTAACGAACAATGTAATCCTTGTTATGTTACACGCATATTGAAGTATAAGCAAAAAAGGAAAGCCATATACATATGTATTTGCAGAGTATGTATTTAAAGGAATTTCGCAATACGATGAAAATTTTTCAAATGGCAGCTCCTCGAACACACCTGTCTCACGCACGCAGCACGCAAGGCAAACTTTCAAAACACTTTGAATGCATTTTAGTCGAAACCACCTTTTCCAATCTAACTTCAAGCCCCGGGCTTGATCTATCCGTCCGACCTCTTTTGTCTAGCAGCTGTTTTTTCTGTACGTCTTGAACCTAAGATTAGCACTAATAATTAATTATTTATATTTTTTAAAGCAATTGAAGTGAAAAAAGTAGCAAAAATATAACTTTACAATTGCAATGAGCATAATGCAATAAATTTATCGTTAAAATTGTTTCAATTGAGGTTCAGAACGTAGAAAATTTCATGATCTCCAAGTAACGACAATGATTTTTCATTTCAGTCTACTACAAGAGGCTGTGGAGGCTCGGGCCATGTTTTTCACGTAGAGGCCGACGGAAAGCTCCATTTTGTAGCCGTCATTTTAAATTTCGACTACTTTTCTTTGCCGTTTTAAAGTCTTAAATAATAAAAAAACTTAATATTCAAAGCCGGAAGTTCTTATGCCTTTTTATTCTGCTGCAAAAAAAAAAAAATTTTGCCTGATTTTTGCCCAATATTACAATAGTAGAGGGTACCCTTAAATAAGGAGAAATACGTCGTCGTAGTAGAAAATGTCACGTTGCCTTGGTCGGATAATTTGCTTGTTATATGGAAAATTCAATAGGATAACGAT